CTGATTCACCATCCTTTGATTTTTTCTCTTCCTTTGATTTATGTGCTTTGCTTAATTTGACATAGAAACGAACACCATCAAAGTCACAAAATGTGTACTCACCTGAAAGGTTTTCATTTGGGTCAAGGCTGCGCTCGAGAAGATTTCGAAGAATGGCTGATTCGTATTCGAGAATAATCATCGCGATTTGTCCAAATGAAGCAGTTTTTCATTCAAAAGTCACTTCATAACCGTCATTCTTATATCAAAATATTAAACAATACCACTTCAGAACAATTGGCGTCACTTTTCAAAAAAAGGTCAATTTTGGGATAAATGTAATTTTTTTGAGCTTGAATTCGCCAGATGAACCACATTCTCGTCATCCGAAACTATCAATGAAAATTAGATATAAAACTTTTTTAAGAAGTAAAAAATAATGAAATAGATTTCATTATAATTTCGTTTGATTCTATTCATGAATAATCCTTACAACTTAGTTAATTCTGTAATATTGTTAAATAAAATAGCTTTTATATTGACAATATGCAAAATGAGTTTATTAAATCAAATCTACAATTAAATATGTGAATTTATGTTTTGATAATGATATTGTATAACTTGCAATGAAATATATTCATATTTTTATACTTCAAATTAAGACTGATTTCATATCTGTTGGCTCTAACATCAAAAATCTAGACTCTTTTTCATGAATTGGTTTAGGTCAAATATAAGGTTAAATATGCTGTCATATCTTTTTCTTTTTAACAATTTATTCGTCACACAATTCCGAAATAGCGAAGCCACTTACGTGGTTCCAAACTGTCGATATTAAAGAGCTTCTCACTGCTGTTGTTTTAGCATTAATATGGGGAGCTCTTTCTTTCATTATTCCATATCCGATATTCATTCCCGAAAACGATCCACTTTTGACATATCCAAAAGCAACCCAACGTATAGAATCGATCATTATTGTCGCTTGTATTTGTTTTCCGGCAGTAGCTTTGATATTAGTATTATTCTATTTCCTTGGCCAGAAATACCCAAAATACTTCAATTCATTCAGAATATGGACGTCCATTTGGATTCTCGTTACAATTGTTGCAATATCAAACATTATTGTCACTTTGCAAAATATCTATATCGGAAAAGTGCGGCCAGACTTTTTCAGTCAGTGTGGATCAGATATTCGTGATCCAAGGGAATGTTCCATCCTTAATCGGAAAGACAGGATCGATGAAATGTCTTCCTACCCATCAAACGATTCTGCCTCGATTGTGTCATCACTTTTATATCTTGCACTTCTCCTTGAAAAAGCGTGCGTGAAAAGACCAGCATGGGCGACTGTTCTTTGCATTCTTTTCTTCATTATTGGCTTGCTGGCTGGATCCTTTCCCATAAAAACTTTTCGTGCGCATTTTGACGACGTCGTCGCTGGATTCTTCATCGGAATTTTGTGCTGCGCAATAATTTGGAATGGATCAGTAAAAAGAATATTCAGAGATTGCAAGAATAATGATAGTTCAGCGTACTATGATCCTGTAATGTGATTTTATTCATAAAAAATTAGATCCATATTTGTTAGAAATAAAAAGCATATTTTTCTTTTAATTTTTCATTTTCTTTTTGTTTTTCATTTTCTTTTTGTTTTTCATTTTCTTTTTGTTTTTCATTTTCTTTTTGTTTTCATTTTCTTTTTGTTTTCATTCTCTTTTGGTTTTCATTTTCTTTTTGTTTTCATTTTCTTTTTATTTTCATTTTCTTTTGGTTTTCATTTTTGGTTACTTGTTTGGTTTAGTTTATAATTTTACTAGTTTTTACTTGTTGTTATAAAAATGTTTATATCTGGTAAACCTGTCATGTTTAGAAATAAAAAAGATAAACTATCTAATAAAGTCTTTTTTATTAACAATAAATTTATAAAACAAATCAGGTTGATGGAGAATGGATCTGAAATAAATGCATAGGAAATATGATATTGTATTTCTTATTTATAGTTATATGTAAACGAAGTTGTTACTGACATCTCAACATCATCAAATGTAAAAATCACAAAATGTAAAACATCATCTTTCTCAATAAAATCCCAATATTCGTATTCTAATGTGATAGACTCAGCACTTTCAGAGACCCAATTGCAATGCCCACTTGAGCAATGCGCATGATCCCATGAAGGGGGTTCATTTAATGAAAACATGTAATATAATTTCTTTTTTATGTCATGTTTCATGTTGATCACGAGAGATGACCCTTTTTTCCATTCGATAAATTTAAATGTATAATAAATAAATTCATGCTTCGGTAAAGAATCTTCTTCATGTTTCATTCCAGTTTTCATGGGATGTGATTCGGATCCACATAAATCTCCTATTCTTCCTTTGGGACAAATACAATATCCATTTTTACAGGTTGCTGATCCCTCACAGCCCGCACCACATTTTGGCTCTATTGCATCAAATACTTTTAAAGGTGGAATTCCAACAAAGTGGTCAAAAGGAGCGGATATAGCTAATGTATACTGACATTTATCATGATGTAAAAGATCTCCACTAACTACATATATTGTATAAACTGTATTTTTCCTCACATTCATTTTAATTCTCTTTAATGTATTATGAGCATCAAAATATGATGAATCATCTTTCCTATTTCCTACTTTTTGTAAAGAATCTTGATCATCTTCAATTCTTAAATCGATTCTAAACAGCACATCTGATGGTGAATGAGGATCATGAGGGGGATCATTCCAAGCAAGGGATGCCACAAGTGGTCCATCTAATGAAGATTTAAAACGATATGCATTGTAGCTATTTGAGGGTATTTCATCACTAAAGAATCTAAAACCTTGGATTTCATTTTTGGATTTTTTGTAAGTATCAGGAAATATAATAAATCTATCTAATTGTGGCATTCCAAATCCTGTTTTTTGTGGATCTCCTTTAACTGGCTGTGCAATATTTGATAAAATTGCTTTTATCATATGATTTGATGTATTAATAGTATTTTCTTTCTTTTTTGTTCCAGTAGGATAGAAGCCGTGTTTCAAATATTGTCTAATCAGCATTATATCTCCTGTTGCAAAAGCAGCAGCAACAGATGAACCTTCACCAACTCTGAGACCATCTGGGCCACAAGAATCTTCTTTTCCTGATGATCCAGCATTCGCTCCTAATACAGGTCCTCCGGGCATTACAATTTCAGGTTTAATTCTCCCAATCTTTACATATCCACCTCGTGCATTTGGATTTATATGATGATAGTCAAGCTGTGTGTGTCTCAAATGATTTTCTTCAAATGGTTTTATTTTTATGATATCACCATTAGAAAAATCTTCACTGACTGAGTGTGGTAATCTTATTATAGGCCTTTTAATTTTGTTTTTGTACTCTTTTGAATGAAATGAAAGTATTCCAAAACTCTCTTGAAACTTTAGGACATCTGTTTCATTACCATCAATGTCAATAAAAAATTCTCTTTCAGAGTCACCAAGTTTATATTTTAATGGTTTTCTTAAAAATTCATCACGAGAAATCATTTCCATCCATGTGATGCCTGCAAAAGGATCACAAAACCCTAAATATTCTTTTTCTTTTAGAATAATTATCACTGGAGATGCTGGATCAATCTGATTCAAAGAAAATGGTGCACTTTGAGTTGCTCCAACGGTCAACACATTTTTTGAATCACCAGGTGAAGAGACAAGATAATTATCATTACTGTTAGTATTTTCTCCTGCTGCAAAAAGAAGAAGCATTTGCGGGAAAAAGTAAGCTATTTGATCCATTAAATATGTAAAATAACTCTGCATCTGAAAGTCAAAAGCATGATATTGAACTGCTGCTGACATAAACCTTGGAATTATAAATAAATCTGTCAGGTTTTTTGGCCACATTACATTATTTTTCTTATCTTTGAATATATCACTCATAATAATTTTTGCCATTGGTGCAACACCATCATATAAAGAGCCAGAGCATAATGACTCTTCATCTTTACACATTGCTTGACCTGCAATAATCGAAGAAATAAATGTTCCATGACCACCATCAATATCTTTATCATCTTCATACCTAAAATATGATAATATCTTTCTATGATCAAGTCCAGATAAATCTTCATTCATGATTCTTGGTTGATCAGGATCAGAAAACCAACATAAATTATGATCCAGACCAGTGTCAACAATTGAAACAACTTGTCCATGTCCACCAATTCCATGTTCATAGATAAAATTACGTAAACTATATGAAAAGCCTGATTTGTTGTAATACATTGGTATTTCTGCGTGTGCGATTGATTTTGTGAAGCGTGTATTTAAATGTGAATGGGGAACATGTTCAAAAGATCTTACACATGGTATTTTATATAATTTTTCAAAAACAATTTCAGGATTCTCATCAGTAATAAAGAGTTTCCCATGCATACCAATATCCTGAACTTTAAAAGGTAGTTCACAATCTTGCGTTGATAAGACTAAATATTGATTGCTTCCATTCACAATTATACCTCTTGATATTTTGTGTGATTTAGGAATTTTCTCGATTTTCAAATTATTTTTTATTGCTATTTCAGCTTCTGATCGAGTCATATAAATAGAATATAAGCCCTGTTTCATTGGTATCCCTACATAATCAATATCAAACTTGAGAGATGATTTTATGATATCATTACAATTTTTCATTTTTTTGGGACATTTGACATAATACCAGCTACCTTGGTGCTTGGAAATAGTTCCATTTCTTATTGGATTAATGATTTTTCTGCTAGGAAGAAGAATCCGCGTTAGTAAAACATACAACAACATTCTTTCACAATTTTTTGAATACAATTCAATAAATACATCAAAGAATCTCAGGATGATGCTATTCTTTTAGTGTGATGTAGGAATCAGTATCGACTAAATAATTTTATTCTATAAATATAAATATTACATTTCCAATTCGAGAATTTTTTGCGTTTATCAATGTAATTAAACTAAATATTCAAAACAAAAACACATTTTTGTGCAATTTCACAGAAGTTCTGTGGACCGAGTGGTCGAAGGCAGCTGACTAAGTATCAGTTTATCATGGGTTCGAATCCCATCAGAACTATTTTTTGAATTTATTGTGCATCATAAACTTTTTCATATGTTATATGGTCTTTAACCATACAATTATTCACTATACTTCATATCATTGCTGTGTTTACTCCTATTGTATTATCTTTAATGATTATTAAAGCTGTCATGTCAAGGCAATTTATTAATAAACTAAAACCACAATGATGAAATTTTTTTCTTATACTTCTATTGCACATTCATTAGATATTATGTAACATAATTTATGTTTCTTTCGTTCATTAAAAAAAGAGATTTTCCTCATCAGTAATACTGATTCAGTATGCATACTTTATTATTAAAACTTTCATCTAACAGTTACGATCAAAATCGAATCAACATTCATTTCATTATTTTACATAACATATCAGTATTCCAACTTTTTCAATTCGAAAAAGAGACGTTACAATTTTTTTCATTTGAGGATTTTAAAACTCAAAGAATTCAAAATTTAATGCTGTTCCTCTTTCTACTCCGCCTCAGCTTTTGTCAGTGCCAAGATTACAGTCTCCCAAAATCATCAAAATCGATTATTGATGCCTTACGAAGTCTCAAAAGTTCCAAATCAATGAAAATATTCAATAAAAACACACTCGTCGAACTTCCATTTGCAACAAATTTCAGCCAGTTTCAGACCAAAGTTGCGCCGTTTTTAATTGGTCAATATTACTCATGTATGCCGATCATCATTATTGGACTTTTAGCTTTTTTGTTTTTCTTATCATGCACGATTTTAATTGGTACATATTGCTTGCCATTTGAACGATCAAAACCCGGATTTTTGACAACAATTATATGGTGGATATTTTTCACCTTGGTTTTCATTGTTTCAATTGCTTATTTCATTATGAGTTTGATTTCATCTCCTGATTTTGTTAACGGATTCCCAAAAATTCCAGAAACAATAAAAAATGGAATCATGCAAATTAAACGGTCGATTGATCTTTATGTGAGTTCATATGAAGATACACTCTATAGCAGCTTGAATACAAATTCTAGAGCCTATGGGGCAGCAGGAATTTTATATAACCTTCGAGGTGAACTGACAATAAGCCAATATCAAAAACAGATGAGTTCACTTCATGCAGATATTGACCAAATCAGAAATTTTGCATTTGGTTCATGTCCGGCCAGAATCTCAATTAATGAAACCAATTTTGCGTCAGTTCAATCTTTTTCATCGAATTTTTCTGATGCTTTTAGTTCATTAATTCAATCTTCTAATCAGTTCCTCCAAAATTCAAATATAAAATCAATTAATGATCAAATTTCTACTTCAATGATTCCAATTTTTGATCCATTTTCCAATTTTCTTCCTAAAGTTCAAAACCAACTAACAAAATATGATGAAATTGAATTAGAAAAGGTGAAATCTTCATTCAATATAGATGGAGCTATAAAAGCTTGTTTTTCCGTCTTGAATGTCATTTTAATCTTAATTGTTTTAATTTTTTACATTTTCCAAACAGTGACTTTTTCAATGCAAAACTCATTTTCTCGTTGTTGCGTCATTGCCATCTTTCCAATTTCTATGATTCTTGCTATTTTATTTGGTTGCTTAGGAATTTTGTCGACTTCTGTTTCTGGAGCTATTGGTGACCTTTGTGAAAGTTCGACTAGATTCGCCACACAATGGTATTTTTCAAAACCTGGATTTACTGGAACTTTTGGAACTTTGAACCTGAGTGAAAGTTTGTTTTCATCATCAAATAATAGTTTGTATTCATCGATTGGTGCACAATATGACATTCCCATTAAATTAATTGAAAATTCCACTTTAGAACTTCTTTCAAATTCATCCAATTTGGTTTTCAATTCATCCATTTCATTTGAAATTCCAAATTTGTTGATGGATTCCAATTTTTCAGGATATTTAGAAGAATTAGAAACTTTATATAGTATTGTTTCCAAAACATATGCTGAAATTGTTTTAAATGAATGCAATGAATCCATTTCAAAAAGCTTTGAGAACTTCTTATATGATATTTTTTATGTTCAAAATCAATTAAATTATGGAATTAAACTACAAGCTGATTCATTCTCTTCATTTTTAGCAGCTTCACAAGGACAAGCAAAAGCTGCTTTGGTTGCATCTTTGCCAACAGTCCTAAATAAACTAGAAGAGTTATCTTTAGGTGATTCAATAAATACTTCATGTTTTTGTTGCCCGCTTCGTGGAACCAAGAAGCTTTTCTGTGAGCAAACTGGTTCCACTTTTAGTAATTTTGCAATATTCACACATTTCTACATCATTTCTCTTGTTGGATTTGGTGGATTGTTGTGTTGCAGAAGACAAGGAATGCTTTCATCAGGTTTTCATAATGATCTTGACCAAAATCCAGTAGGAACTCCAAAACGGAAAGGAAATAGAAAAGGTAAAAATAATCTAAATGCTGGTGATGATGAAGATGAAGCTGATAGTTTTGAACCAACAACAAATGATGTTATTCGTGCAATGCCAACACAACTTATGTCAAAGAGAGGAAGAGAGCATGGTTCAGATACATCTGATTCATCTCGAACATCGGACTTTTCAACTTTCGATATGTATCAGCAATCGAAAACAGGTGTTTTCATTTAGGTTTCTTTTTTTGTTCTGTTTTGTTTATATTTCACTTTTGTTGTGTAAGATATATCGAGAATTATGCATTTCTATGTAATATAGTGGCCTGAATGGCTACATTTGTTAAGTCTTTTATTAAATATAATATACCTGACTTTTCTAGTTGTAATGTTTTTTGGCATTTGATAATATTCTAAGCCAAATCCTTCGTCGCGCATTCGACATTGGATATCTATTATACAAAATTATATATTTGATATTTTTAATCTAATACATGCTAGAGTTAATTAATTTATTCTAGAGACAAAATGTTCTTGTTTTCTTCTTTATTATCAAACACATGATTTCTAAGTCATCCTATTGACTTGAGTAAATTATAGTTAGGTTGGTATATACATTTTCATCCTAGATTGTAACTTCTTGTCCATTCAAAGCCAGTATTTCGCTGCCATCGAGATCAGAATGGTTTGAATGTGAAAAAACAAATTTCGTCTTTATTTTTTACGGAAAGGCACGCGCTTGTTCCTCGGGAAAGATATCGCTTAAACAATCGGTGAGAAGAGTTATGAGTAAAGCTCCAAATTCCGGAAGAGGCCACTCCGGCTGTGAACCAGGTCGAATTCCTTACAAGATAAAAATGAAGAGAGAAGATAAAATATAGCATGGAGTGATTTAGTGACAAACTAAGGAGAGATAATGAGTAGGTTAGAAAGGTGAGTCCCACTCATCAAACTGATGGAAGACATCATCAGTCGGGAAGGCGAATTCAGACAGCTGGCCCGCTGAAAACGAGTCGCTAATTCCACTTGCGCCTTTTTCATTTCCGGTGTTATTCCCGAAAGGATTATTTTCGAAAGGATTTCCAAACGCGTCAGAAAACGGATTTACATTACTGTGGTCGCTTTGGCTTGGATTACCATTTGGATTATTTGCTTGGAAGTTGAAATTGAATCCATTTCCGTTTAATCCATTAATATCGTTTAAATTATCGTTGAAGCTATGACTACCATTTTCGTTTAAATTCAAGCCGTTTTTGCTGTTATTATTATTGAAGGACAAGCTGATCGTGTTGTTATTGAAACTACTGCTGTTGGTGTTAATATTTGTATTAATATTTGATTGGATATGTTTCATGAAATTCAATGAATTCAGGCTTCCAACTTTTGAGCCAAAACCGCCAGGCATGGCATTCAAACTTCCGACTTTATTATTCGAATTATTATTATTTGATGGCGAATTGAAATGGATATCGGAAAATGGATTTTCGTCAAACGATAGAAATTCATTGGCCGATGATATGCTTGCATTGTTATCGTACGACGTTGGTGCGCTTAAATTGGTATCGTATGGATCCGAAAAAGCGAATTTGAAGTGAATGGGCGGCGTTTGGTCGGATCCCCATTGAACCTCGTGCTGGGGAACAGTTTGCTGTTGCGGGTAGTGAATTTGAGGCATCGGCGGGCGGGATTTCGGAATGATAGGAAGAGTCAATCCGTTCATTGTCGGGTTTGGCGACTGACTTCCGTTACACGCGGTTTGAGTAAGATTATTGTTATCGTTATTATTTAAGACGTTATTGAGATTTGGTGAAGTTACCATCGAATTTGATTGATTTTGTTGTTGCTGCAACAAAATGGGCATCATTTGTGCAGCTAGTGTTGAAGGTACTCTATGCCTTGAAAGCCAGCTCCATCTATTCTTGACATTATTTGATGATCGGCCTGGTAAAAATTGCGCGATTTTCGTCCAAAAGTTTCCGTGGATGCGCTGTTGCTGAATGAGGATAGCGTCCTCTTGAGGTGTCCAGTTGTCTTTATTTAATGCTGGACATAATTGGTTAATCCATCTTTCTCGACATTGTTTTCCAGTTCGACCTGGAACGGCTTGCGAAACGAGGCTCCAGTTCCCCATTCCGTGCTTGTTGACACTGTCCATGAGAAGGCGATCTTCTTCCGGTGTCCATTTCGATTTTTTGAAAGGCGGATTGGATCCTTGATTTGGCGAGACGGAGCGCATCATTTGGTGGTTTCTCAGCTGCTGCACGTTCTTGTTGATCGTGCAGTGAGTCATGAACTGGGTGATATCACGCGAGGGCTCGGCAGCATCACCTATATCAAACTCGAAAAGATCAGCCATATTTTTAATTCAGAGTTAAATTTTATTGAATTGGGCTCTTTTCAATTTTTGATAATTGAATTTGGTAGATTTTGATAAATATTTTGAATGGAAATATATTGAAAAATCGACACTTTATTTGAATTATTCCACAATTATTGAAAAGCAGTTTATATTTGTCGCTATAGAAAATATAGAATTTAAATTTTTCTTTCATAATACATCCTAATTTTTTTATAATCAATTTTTCATTGAAATATAGCTTAAAGTCATTGAAATGGGCAAAAAACCTTTCATGAAAGGTAAATATTGACACT